TCAGTCTAGTTGTGGAGGACGTTGCTTCACTGGCCCAAGTTGGCACCATCATTGCACTCTTCCTGGGCGAGGCAGATCAGTTGCTGGCTTCTGGATGGCCACTCACGCTGGCTGCTAGCTACACACGGTAGCCCATGGCAACCTACCGCAGCAGTGGCTGCAGCCTACGCCGTCCCCCGCGACTCATGGCAGCCCAGCTCCAGGTTGAGTTGTTGTTCAGTATCTTAGCTGTAGAGGGCAGTGTCACTGGCCCTCATGTGGGATCCAAACAGGGGCCCTCTGGCGTCCCAAACCAGCTCTTAACCAACATGCCACTCGGCCGGTCCCATAGATTTGTTTATATGATCTTTACTGTACATCTTGTTACTGTAGGTCACAAAGAATTAGGTTTTATATATTGCTACTATTTTGAATTGTAATTTGTGAAAGAAAGCCCCAGTATCTGCTTTATATGCCTATTTCAGTCACCTCCCCATACATAGCATCCTTAGCGCCCTGATTGCCCACCAGGTCTGTCTCAATGGCTACCAGATTCAGAGGTCTGGCACTGAAGAGTCAGAGGTTTGGGAGTAATCGTGATGAGATTATTAATAAACGATGATTATTTGTGATTGCAATGTGAATTTTTCTCACTAATGGTAATTAGTTACATATTTTTATAAATCAGCTCCTGTAAGAATATAGAAGACATTGGGCTGGCTGAGTGGCTCAGTTGGTTATGAGTTAGCTTAAGAGCACGAGCTCTGAGCAACAGGGCCGCCAGTTCGATTCCCACATGGGCCAGTGATAATGCGCCCAAGCTGAGCTGCTGCTGAGCTGACAGCAGGTGGCAGGATGGCTCAGCTGGTGAGAGCACATGCTCTTAACAACAAGACCACCTGCTTGATGGTGGGCTATGCCAGCCTGCAACTAAGACTGAACTCAGCACCTTGAGCTGAGCTGCCGCCTGGATGACCAAGTGCATAGAGCATGCGCTGTTAACAACAAGGCTGCTGGTTCGATTCCCGCTTGGGAAGGTGGCTATGACCACCCGCAACTAAGATTGAACACAGCACCTTGAGCTTACAGGCCACGAGCTGCCGATGGGCAGCCAGATGGCGACTGACACCCTCCACAACTAAGATTGAAGAACAACAACTTGGCTGGTTCCCCTCCCCTCCCCAATTCCCCAACACTGTTCCCCTCCCCCAATTCCCCAGTTTAAAAAAAAAAAGAATATAGAAGACAGAGGAGTGAGAAAATAGAGGATCATGACTCTATTCTTTTTTTGTTTGTGTGTCAGACAGAATGGTACAGAATTGCCTTCCTGACTGATGTAAAATAGAAGGAAAAGAACCTAGCACTTTCCTCCCTAAACATTAGAAATGAATTTCAAGTGCTGTTGCAACTCCCTTTTATATTTGTATTTAGTCGATTTGATAAAAATTGTGAGTAGATACTCAAAAATATTTATTGAAAATGAAATTTTTAATTGAATATGCTTTTTGTTAAGTAAAATATGTTCATTCTAGAAAATTAGAAAACACGGAATATCATAAAACAATCGAACCATCTCCTACTGAAAGGTTACTGCTGTAGTGTGGTGGTTCAGAGCAATAAACTGATGTCAGATTGAGCAGGTTTAAGCCTCAGCTGTTTAGGATCCCTCTCACCTATGAAAAAGGGGCACTACTAATAGTAGTACCGATCTCAGAGATGTTTGGAAGATTAAATGAGAAATTCCACGAAAAGCTTAGAACAAAACTCCACCTACAGTAAGCACTAAGTCCATGAAAGTATTTATGTCCTTCCAGACTTCTTTATATCCATATATGCACACATACATATTTTTCATAAAAATAGGCTCAGCCTGAACACACCATTTCACAACTTGCTTTTTTGTGGTAGACATCTGAGTATGTCAATAAATATACTTTCCCTCATTGTGTTTCATAACTGCATAATATTTCAGTGTGTAAATACCATAATATATTTAACTTGATATTGTGATTTTCAACACAGTATTATAAACAATATGATGAACGTCTTTCAACATAAATATTGGCGCACACTTTTCATTGTTTTCTTAGGTTACAATATCAAGGTTATTTTTTTTTAACCTTAACAGTTATCTTATTCCTCTGAATATTATCATCCTGAGTAGATAACTTAATAATAATATAATTCACATTAATAACAATAATAATATAATTCACCTTAATAACAATAATAACATATTTCACCAAATCTAAATGATTGTAGGTGCACTGTTTTGTGACCATTAAGAAAGAAAAAAACTGCCAGTTATACTATGATGTGCCAGTGAATGTTAACTAAAATATATATCAATTACAGAGATGTCAAAATAGGGGGGAAATGCATCTTCGAATCAGTAAAATACTGGTACACAATCTGTTTAGTCTCCCAGACACACAATGGCATTTCTTGAATCAAACTGTAACGCAGCCTGTGAGGTGAAGAGGCCAAGCAGCAGAGCCGTGACCTGTGCAAGCACTCAGTTAAGCACCAAACCAAAGGACAGCAAACCCATTAGTCACACGGGTCACCAAGTGTCCACTATTTGCAGACTGCTTTGTTTGCTAGGTGCTGGGACCTCAATTGTTAGTACCCCCGGGCTCTTCTCAAGAGCAGCAGAGACTTACAATCAGTGTTGTAGCTCTACTTGTAGCTTTTAAGCTGAAGTTCAGGACCTTCTGCCCAGCCTCGCTTCCCCCCTTCCTTGCTCACCCCCCATAAAAAATTAAAAGAGCTCATCAGTTTTTACCAGCTCATTTTCTCTGTTTATCTACAGTCTCCAAGGATTGCTTCTCTGGACAGTCATGTTTGATTTAGTATCTGCTTTGTTCTGTTTCAGGTACGGAATGAGCCCCAAAACATTTCCATTTCAGCAGAATATATCGCCCAGGTGAAAGGGATCTCAGTAGAAGAAGTTACAGAAGTGACAACGCAGAATGCATTGAAACTGTTTCCCAAGCTTCGCCACCTGCTCCAGAAATAGCTTTGAAACCAGATCAACTGCAGGGGGCAGCATTTGAGAAAAATAAATGTTCTGATTAAGAGTCAGAACTGAAGAAACCATTCCATAGGGATATAGAAGGTTATAATTTTAGAGAAATAGTTCTCTTAAAAATAAAACTGGGCTCGGATCCCAAAACCCTGGGTTCTAATTCTACCTTGTGCTGCTTTTGAATTAATGATTCCTCATAGGAGATTGGGAAACACTGCTGTTTCTTAACTTGCCCCATTAAATAGAACTCCCACATGAACTGAAACTGTTTCTTCTGGCGAGAGTGGCTCACGCAGGTAAGAAATAAGTGCTCCTGTGATGGCATGGAATAGGCTGAGGTTTGATCCTTCACCACCTGTCTTGCTTCTCATAGGATTTATCCAGTGAAAAGAGAGCATTTAGTTTCTTACACTATCAAAACTCTTCTCTTCTGGGTTAATAAAATTGAACTTTTAGTACTTCGAGCTATGTCATTTTAAGAGAAAAATGTACAAGGTTTTTATATTGATCTTAGATTTAGACTTATGAGGCCAGTGGTTTATACAATCACCATTTAATGCCAAACCCAAAAGTTTAGTTAATAACTGATTTTAAGTTCCAGCGTGAATTTTGTCACATGTTTAAAATGTAAATTGCTTTATTAAAATATGTCTGACTTTTTTTGCATGCAGTAAAAGTTTGTATTTTGAAGTTTCAAAAATCTTAGGTATGAAAAAAGCCTTAGGTATAAAGAGTTCTGTGGATGGATGATGGTGATGGTAGCACAACAGTGTAAATGTCCTTAATGCCACTGAACTATACACTTAAAAATTATTAAGATGGTAAATTTTATGTTATATGCATTTTACCACAATTAAAAAAAATCTTATGTGTACTTTACCAGGTGTTGTGATCCATACCAAAATCTGAGTATTTACTTTTGTTAAATTATATAAGCGGCAAATACTGGAAAAAGTACCTGTCATAGAAAAAAATTAACTTCCAAAAGAAAAGTGATTTTACATAATCTTCAATATTTTCAAAGTTATAGAGGAATCAAAACTAGTTCCAGGGCAGGTTGTCCAAACCAGACTAGACCAGCTAAGAAGCAGAACAGGTACGTAACCAAATCCATCAGCAGCATCATAGATGAAATTCCAACATTTGATGCGAAGTTAAAACTAGACTTCTGAGCTCTCTTAAATCTATATATCTTTTGCATATTTCCTACCTCTTTCTGCCCACATTGTCTCTGTTGAACTCACCTTTAAATCCTTTAAGATCCAACTTAAATGACTTCACCTCATCACCCAGCCAGACGTGATTCCTGTTCTCTAAATTGAAACCATTTTCTTCATTTATTCATCAATTTATTTTTCTCATTTATTACACAGTTATTGAACCCCTCCTGTAGGTTGCCCACTAGTCTAGGTGATAGGCTACAGAAAGGAATAAGATATCACAATTTAATTAAAAACATCGATGTGGACAAATAATTTCAAAACTATGTGAGAAGTACTATAATAAAGGAAGTATACAATGCTATAAAGTGAGTCTGACGACACTTAACACATATTCCTTTTTACTAGGTTTACATTATGTTTTTCACCTTTAGAGATTACAAATCTTTGAAGAACAAACCAATTTTTTTTCTTGTTTTTGCATTGCCTGAAACAAGGTTTGCAATATCATATGCTCTTATATCTTTTAAATAAATGGAGAGTCAGTTCAACTGAGTGCAGTCGAGAAGTCAAATGTTCAACTTTTCAATATGCTTTTTGAAATGGATATGGGATATTATGTACCTTTTTACTGGTTTTCTTTAAGATGCATATTTTTCTCCTCTAGCCTATAAGTGTATTTAAAACTATTCAAAGATTTCCTAATGTTAAACATTGTGAAAAATAGAAATAAACTCTGTTGGTCTGGAAAAACAAATCTTTTTTGCATCCTGTAGGAAGGCTCTGCCCCCAGCTGAAGGACAAAAAAGACTTTTCCCCCAACCCGAGCATATGGTGACCTTCCTACTAAAGGAAATATTTCTTATTCTGGTTCTTATCTTTTTTTATTCTAGTAAGAAGCAAATGAAATAGTATTCTTTTTTAAAATAGAAAAATACCAGCTCTTTTCTTTCATTATTATGCATCCAAGAGCTCATTTTATCGCTTGGCTGCTCACTCTTCTTGCCCTCTACTTGTCTGCTCTCATACTTCAGAGTTTAATTTCTTGATTTGCATTTTCTTGCTCTTTTCACCCTTTTGACTGAATACTTCAAAGCAGCATATGTGAACTGACATTTCATTTACAGGATCTGAGTAAGTTAGAAAGGGTTTCCAGAGACTGTTTTATACTTCTTAGAGCTTAGCTTTTCAAGCATGAGCAAATCTCTCTGTCCTTTTTACATTATGAGAAAGGCTGTGCTAATGATGGCAGCATCAGTCAAAAAGATAGAATGGAAAGAGATCAGATAATTCAGGGATTATCAGTGTTACAAGTTTAAACATACATCTCCAAGCAAGAACATCTGAGTAGGCCCTCCTCACCCCTCTTATCTTTGGCTAATTCCAAAACAAGCACGTCTCTAAAAAAGATGACTCCTTTGCTGACTGTCCCTGTAATTCAAGAACAGTTTGAGTGGTATTTAAATTTTGGATGTTAAAAATGGTACAAAGAACTTATTTCCCATTTATCTGTTCAATATAATAAATATAGAGAAACATGCATAGCATGTAGAGCAGAAAGTGGTAGAAGTATAATGGCCTCTGTACGGGACTTTTCTGTGGATTGCTTCTGAGGCTCAGGTAATCTAAATAAATTTTATAAATTCTCAGAACTAAGGCGTGATACATTTAGAATTATAATCCCCGACTTCTGTTTCAGCACTCTTTTCCAAATATCAACAGTGCCTTCCACTCTGATCTCTGCATTAGCTGAAGTAACGTCCTTCAGAAGCCATATTTATGGTATTACAAATCACAAACTCTGAATTTGGGAGGATAGGCAGTGACTGAGGGAAGCAATAGGACACAGAAGGGGTCTTAAGATTCATAGGGATGGACATCTGACTGTTTTTTGGCCATTCTTTTCTTTGGGGGAATCCTTCACCTTATTAAACAGAGCCCGCTTGTCACTCTAGAAGCTGAAAATGCCAGTCAGTCATTTTCCAGCTATTTTTGCAACCAGGGTACTGATAATATGATGCACCCTAGATTTTGAATGAAGAAGCCAGGACTGAGCTGACTCCATTCTGGTGAGGGTGCACAGTAGGACAGCCTTCAGGGTCCAGCTTGGTGAGGATGGCAGTGTGAGCTGCAGGGTCTGTGCCTATGGCTGTGGGAGATGAGTCTTGATGCTTTTGGTTCAGTGGTATGAATTTGGGGTTTTCAGCCTTTTTGGAGATTTTGTGAACAATCTAATATCCTTCAGTAAATTCGTTTTCTTTTTTTTAAAGATTTTATTGGGGAATTGGGGAAGGGGAACAGTGTTGGGGAATTGGGAAAGGGGAACAGCCAAGTTGTTGTCCTTCATTCTTAGTTGTGGAGGGTGCAGCAAGCTCAGCTCCAAGTCCAGTTGCCATCTGGCTGCCCGTCGGCAGCTTGTGGCCGCTCAGCTCAAGGTGCTGAGTTCAGTCTTAGTTGCAGGTGGGTGTAGCCACCATCCCATGAACAGGCAACCTTGTTGTTAGGAGCACCTGCTATCACCAGCTGAGCCATCCTGCCACCTGTTGGCAGCTCAGCAGCAACTCGGCTGGGGTGCAGGTCACTGGCCCATGTGGGAATCAAACCAGCGATCCGGTTGCTCAGAGCTCACACTCTTAAGCAAGCTCTTAACCAACTGAGCCACTTGGCCGGCCCCCATTTTCTTCTTAAATTAGCCAAATTTAGTTTCCATTCCTTATATCTTTAAGAACACTGATTGATGAGAAAATTGATACCCTGAAGCAGTTGTCACCAAGAGACCCTTGGGGAAATTAAGAAACAGAAGGAAATCTGGGACTTCTAGAGCCTGCATGGCTTTCCAGGCAGCAAAAGTCCAATTAATGTTAGGGGATAAGACATTGGCAGTCCATAGCAGATAGTGATCAATGTTGTGAAAGCATTTTAAAATGACATTTTTATGGCAAGAAGGATGTGTGTTGATCTGGGGGCATCTCAAGGGGTATACTGCAATGAACATTTCCATCCTTTTTCTCCACTTTTCCTATATTTGTGGAATCTCACTTTACAAAGCAGAGCTCATCTTCCACTCTGTGTGGCCCCTCCCTTTGGACATATCTGCAGTGCCAGCAAAGAAATGCAGCCCCCCACCCCACCCCACCCTGTGACCTGCCATGGCCTGCAAGATCCTCTCCAGGGAAGAGGCACTAGACTTTGGTAGCTTCAGTAGCAATGGTGGGCCCTGCTGAAGACTTCTAAGTAGCAGGGAGGTCACAGGAAGCCTTTCTGTAGGCATCAATGGCCTTGACTTGGGAGCTCACCTGCAGACAGCTCTACAGGGAGCTAGAGCAAAAAAGAGAAAAGTGCCCATCCCAGGTATTTACTGAGGGAACACGTGCATCAACAGGTCTGAAACACTCCCGGGACAGGTGAAGGAGTTGGCTGGACTTCTTGTTATTTCAGGTAGGGTCAGAGTCCAAAATATATAGTTTTGTAACTTTTGAGTTTCTGGTTTTAGCCCAAGGCTGTTTTAAGGTATATAGAGGAAGGCAAAGTTGAAACATCTATCTAACAGGGGTAGGGGTGGGGGAGGGAAGGCTTCCAGGAGAAGGTGGTATTTAAATTGAAGTTAGCCAGGTGAAGGGGGTAACAGAATAGGGTGGAGAACCACAAATAGTTCCATGAAACTAGAGGTGCATGGGACAGGAGGTAGGAGGGGATTACAGAGAAATGATATTCGAAAGCTTGTTCATTTTATTACATATAACCTGCCACTCGTTGACTATGTGTTTATTCCCTCTGAATCATTTTAGATTCAGCCAAAGAAATGATGCTGCATTTGAGAGTCTTTATGTGGGCTGCTTAGTGTTGGGAGATAATTCACTGTAGGTCTCTCACATTTCTGCATGCCTTGGGAGCAGAGGCACTGACAGCTTTGGTTTCAGATTATCTCTTCAAGGATGTTTGTATAGCCAAGGACCTTGGAGGACAGAGATACTGTCTCCCACTGGAGCAGAGGGCAGGTTTATTTACTGCCCGGTGTAATAAAGAGAATGTCTTCCTCCTGGCAAAGGTTGGGTTTCTTAAGCTCAGAGGTCTTCAGCTGTGAGGCAAAACCTCTGTGTGTATGCCGCCTGTCTGGATGGCTCCACAATGTTTGGGAGTCAGGGCGGGGGGAACAATTGGAACTTGAGGTTTGTGCTACTTGCTGTGCTCTGAGTAATAAGGAAGGTCCTTTGCCTGTGAAGCAGGAGTCTTATGTCTCCTGTCAATGCCCATGAAACTGGCAGGCTAACACTTCACAGCTCTTGACACTAGATGTT